AAAGTCTAAATACAATGGTTATAAAGTCCCAAATATCAACGGTTATAAATCATAAACAAGGGAAAGGCTACCAAACGACTCACTTTTCTCAAAACGGTCCGCTGAGGGTAACCCTTCGCTGCACTGTCTCCGTTACTAACGTTACAAACTCTATATCAAAAGGTCAAAAAAAAACTAAGGCGTGGCGGTGTAACCAAGCGATCAGCCAATCGCTGCAGTCGACAGCATGATCACGTGATTACCAGGGATCCGTCTCTCGGTTAAAGCATTGCAAAGCGGTAACTAATAAACAATGAATAAACAAGCTATTAATCAAACTCCTGTCATATACGCTTATAAACTTCAACTGAACTTACAAGTCGTTAATCTAAACAAAAGTCATACGGCGTGGAAACAGAATGCAAAGACAATGTCGCTTTCATAACACATTACTCCTCTGGCAAAAAGACGGGGAAAAGACTAAAACGATATACACTACTGAGTTACATAAACCTGTCAATCATGAACAAAAGCTTGCGATATCAAACAATACGTATATAAGCGCACCAAACTCTCATCCCAAAAAGACATTAAAAAACGTTACAAAGGTGCTCTCTACTCAAAAAAGCGTCAGAAGTATTCCGGAAACAACACATAAACAAAAACAACTCTTAAAACGTCGGTATCTCTGTACTCGACAAATCACAAAACTCTGAAAAACTCTTTGGGGCATTACTTTCCCCATCATATTCCGTACTCATAAACTCATAAAAACACCATAAAACATCACAAAACTCATAACACTGTGTTGCAAATACTTGTCCACTGAGGCGCGCTTAAATCGTTATAAAGGACCTCGCATGTCACTAAATATCAGTTCAAAACAAAGATCTGGGCGCTTACATACATACAATTCAACATCACAAAAAAACGGTAAAACAATAGGAAAAACAAGCAATACATTACATTACTGAGCAATAGGGTTAGGGTTGTGAAAAAGAGTTCAACGTCCTTGAGTTATACAGTGTCAGTTACCGTGTCCAACGAGCGGTTCTCTAAGCAAATAGCTAAAGTTCTAATCAAAGTCTATAAGCGTCTTCTTCTCTTGTCGCGTTATTCCGGGTCGTTCTTTGTCATCTTGTCTTTAATGTCGCTCAATTCTAAATTATACAGTCCTATACGATACTGGTCCTTCCGAAGGGGTTCTGAAATCTTCATCTCTTCAGCGTCGTTCATCGGTGTCGTTCGGGTAAAGCCGTTAGTCGTCAAGCGCAGTTTCCGAGTCGTCTCTGCCATGGAGCTGTTAGTTTGGTTCACAAGAAAGACACATCTTCGCCATTTCACTTTTCTTCACAGGATGTCAATGTGTGTTAAACACCTGCCCGGGATCTCCACTCACGTATCAGGGGGATAATTCTCTTTCTCTCGGGGGTAAATTCTTTCTCGGGTTCTCCACACTTGCCAGGGGGGAATCTCGTCTCGTCTCTCTATCTCGTCCCCTTGAGGTACGGGATCGGGAATGTCACTTATACTTTACAGTCAAATAAGACACACACAACGAAATACGTTTCAACTCTCGTCTCAGTCGATCTTTTGGAGCACTCTATAAGACACAGCGCCCTGGGGAAAAGTCCCCAAGACTCTCACAAGGCTGAACCAAGACTCGCCCAAGACTGGACTGCCTCAAGGCTCGCCCCTGGACTGGGCTCTCGACTCTCAGACTGCCTCTCTCTACTGCGTCTATCGTGGAGTACTCTTCAAGACCAACTCAAACTCTCTTTATTCATTTTCAAAACTCTAACCAATTACAAAACAGTAAAAGACTCTAGGGCGTAACCTTCAATCATAAAGCCAATCACACTAAGTACTGAATACGTCATATCTTTTGATTAATCGTTCACTATATTAATAACTATGGATATAAACTGTCAGAATGAGTAGTCTAAAAAGCGGCGGTTATCTGGTAATTAGTTCCAAATCACTGAGCCAAGTTCCGTCCAAACTTCAAATAGACCTTAACGATGACAGACATAACACAGCAATTCAGCTAATAATCAACTAATTAAGTCGGTTAACAGATACGCAAAAACAAATTCATGACACATCCTTTCACCCAAACTGAGATATGCCTCTCGGCATTGCACGTTCACAAATCAAAGATACCG